GTTAAGATTTTATCACAATTTTTTAATAATAAAGATTCATTTATTATAGAATACAAATTATGGTGTTTTGCACCTATTGTATTATTATGTTTTAAATTTTGTAAGGCTTTATAATAAAATTTTTTTCACAGGTTAGTGTTTGTAAGATATTTCAGAACAAAACATTTTTACTTAAATATCTAGTACCAATTAATTAGCAAATAATATAACCTATTTAATAAAAGTCTTAAAATTTGGTTAATCTTCAATTAATAATTAATATGTTATACAATACATTCAAAATTTTTAATAAAAAGCATTAAAAAAACAAAAAAAAATCATTTAATTGATTTTACTTATTTTTTTGCAAACTACAAAAAAAGAAAAAAAAACAGAAAATAATAATAAAAAAAAACAAAAACAAACAAAGAAAAAAACAAAGCAAAAAAAAAACTATCAAAGGAAAAAAAAAATTATTTAAAATCGGCACCCTTGGAACTATGAAAAGTGTATCAACTTAAGTCGATAGATGTTGCAACATTCCAACTACTAACGGTTAAAACGTTTAAATTGACTATATATAAATCATTATTTAAATTAAAAAATAACGATTGTGCATCTTTAGGATCATAAAAATTTACCACCCAGATACTAACACGTATTACATTAAGAAGTGATAGTTCAAATCATTTGAGCTATTAGACTCGCCATGAATTGCTTCGATGTCAATATTGACAAAAAATTGTTGCCACACTTTTTGCACATCATCTGCAGTTAATTTCGCAAAAAGGGCATTAATTTCATAACTAAACAATAAACATTAATATTAGTATTAAAAAAAATAATAAAACAATATTAATAATTAATAATTAATAATTAATAATTATATTATCTTTTTTTTCTAGAATACAAAATATCATACAACTTATTTATTTTAAGCCAAAGAACGTGCCGCCACTTAATAAAGGTAGACCAAAATTTTGATGCTGCATCATCAAAATTTTGGTCCTCTATTTCAGAAACCAAAATTTATCTTGATTATCGCATTTGATTTTGCATCATCGAGATTTCTGCAATAAATAAACAATGCATGCAATTCGTTTCGAAAAAGTTTGGCATCCCATTTTGGAAACTCCTAAATTATATAATATAAAAAGTTACCATGTTTAGTAATAATTCATTATCATTATTAAATAACATTAACTATAAATACAGTCAACTCTCTCTTATCCGAACAGCCCAGTCTGAGATTTTTAGTTCAGTTCTCAAAAAGGTATTATAAGCTTATCCGAACTCTATAATAAAATTTATAAATGTCTTAAGTTTTTAGTTTAGTTAAGAGAGTTTGGTTTAGAGAGGTTCGGTTAAGAGAGAGTTGACTGTAGTAATGATGCTAAAAAAATCGAGTATAACGTACAAAAAACAAAATTATATAACAACTATTTAACCTCATTACCATCTATTAGAGTAACCAGACTCTTGTGATTTTGGGAATTTTTCATAGTTTGAACAATGAAAAATTCCTGAAATCACAGAAGTTTGGTTACTTTAACCAAAATATTATTAAATAAATGACTATTACCTTATGGGCTACATAGTCATCGCATAATTTTGTTGAAGTTACAGTTTTTCCATTTCTTGAGAATGATGCAGGTATGTCGTAAGAACGACAAGAAACAAATGGGAACCTCCTATTTTCGTAAAATGTCAGAGGAAGGGTCAAGCCATCCTTGTGCAACTCAAATTCATAGTCATCACAAGGCTTAACCGAAGGTGGTGGTGGTGGTGAAGACCAATTGTCAAGTGCCGAAAACTTGAAGTTTTCGGCCAAAAACTTCAAGTTTTTGGCACTTGACAATCGCGATAAAATTGGAGTCGCCAATTTAGATCTTCTTGACGTATTCGGGAAGATAACTGTCATCATAGCATTGACACCATCATTTACCAAATTGTTATTAAGTAGTCCAAAACGATTTCGTAGAGCGGCAAGTATTGCAGAATGATCACTATTAAGATGTTGTTCGAGGTAGTTTAATGTTGTATTAAGATCTTAATTTATAAAAAAAATAAAAATAAAATTATAAATAAAATAAATTTAATAAAAATTTTAAATCAAACTTTTAGTAACTTCATAGCAACGATATCATAACAATATCGTTGCTATAAAGTTACTAAAAGCTATAAATAAAACAATTTTAAAGGGTAATACTAATTAATAAAATTCTAAATCAAGATTTTATTAACTTCATAGCAACGATATCGTAATGATATCGTTGCTATGAAGTTAATAAAATCTTGATTCTTTTATAGATGTTAATAAAATTATACTGGGAATAGGTAAACTTTGGTATTGGTATTGATGAATGGGTGGGAAGGATGGATGAACAGGGACAGCACGCAGTACAGATTTTCCGCATCATATGATGTAGATCACTGCATGTCACGGTTTTGTCACCTGCAGATCATGATTATATCACTTATTAGTTATATAATTATTGCATACTATCTGCGTATGTATATACGTACGATGTACATACATACTATGTTATCTAATTTAAATAGTGCAACTTGATACAAAATTGATCTTCTCTCTTCTTTTATTTCACTAAATGTTGCTGTGCATAGATATATTGTGAAATTAATATTAATTTTCTAATTGCTAAAGTATTAAAATGCATACTAATATTAATTAATAGAATTTATTCGACTACAATTAATAAAGAGCAAATTTTAACATGACAAACTACGTACATGGTATTTAATTTAGCATTTCGATGGTTGTTTTAATTATTAGTTTCTGATTAATTTTATTTATTCTTTTATTTTTTTTGCTTTTGAAGTTCTAGGTTTTATTTTTTATTATTTTCTTTCGTCAATTCTTTTTAATTAGATTAAATTTTTTTGCTTTTAAGTTAAGTTTTATTTTTTATTTCTTTTGTCAATTCTTTTTGATTTAATTTTCTCTACTGATTGTAGTTAATAAACTCTAACAATAATCGCAATGTTTATTAATAGATCTTTTTTTCAGAATATTTAACTCATTCAGACAACTTTACTAAAGTAACTGTAAGTATATATAAATCTGTTTTTATGTACAAATAAGATATAATAAAAATTCTAATAATTAATATATCATCTAATTCTTGAGTATAATAATTACTGAAGATATACAAGTCAATATTACATGAAAAATGGTATATTATTTATTTATAAAATTATATTTTAAATGATTATTTAAATAACTAATTATTACAAAAACATTGTCCATGGCTTCACATTCCAAGTATTAGTACACTTTGAATTACATTGTGATGACTTGATATCATTTATCATAGTGAATACGCGATCTATATTATTAACTACATTTTTTATATGCCGTAAGTTATTAATAGTCAATTCTTCTCTAAGATGTTTTGCTAAGTATTCTAATTCAGCCACCTTAGCTTCACATTGTGGATAGAGATCCGGATTAACACCTTCATCATTATTAGTAAAAAAAATAGTAGGTTGCTGATACAAGGATTGCTGCTGTGTAAATTGTTGTTGTGACGATTGCTGCTGTGGGGATTGCTGTTGTAAGTTTAAATTAGGGGTAAGAATAATATTTTGTAATTCATTGCTATCCCAAATAAGGAATAGATAATCAGTTCATCGTTTGAAATTTTCATAGATAAGCCGGATTCCTTCTGGATTATGTAACCTTGCCTTATCAATTGCCTGGTAAATTAGATGCTTACAAATAAGAAACCAACTATATAAAAATGAGAGACAACTGCATACCCAACAATTTAAATCAACTGCATAACGTTCTTCTACACTATTAGCAATTGGCCTTGCAGCAAGTTGATTCTAATTTTTTTTGAACTCTTCGAACCACTTTGGTGTTAATCGACCAAGACGGATTTGTTGAAAACGGGTTGCTTGATCAGGTAAAACTCTAGAACAAATATCCATACAAGATAATCTACTCTTGGCCTGTTAAAATGATGGAGATAACAATGTTTGAGTACCTTCCAATGTGCTTCTATCATCATGTTCGTTTTACCGATTGGAATTGTTCCTCGCATTGAACGTGCCCAAAGATACCATCTTGATATTTTATACCATGAAGACCACAGGTATAACCATAATATTATAAGATTATTATCTATACAAAAATTATACATTTCAAGCACTGCATTTTCTTGAATCTTTGCGGATGTCAAAAATATACCATCAGCATTAACTGGTATTTTTGGATATAAATTAAAATGTTTTTTAATAAGATTTATAATATCATTTTATAGATTTAATGGGCAAACTTGGTAATACTCCGGTTCTGAACATTTTAAGTCTGGTTTAAAATCAGGATTAATGAAACTAAACTCAACAATAGCTTCTTTGGACTGATATTGATTATATTGTATCCTTTTTTTGCTTTTTAGTTTTAATGTTATTGCACGTTCAATATGCCATTGACATAATTGTATATTAGCTTATAGCCATACCTCTTTTGCTGCATTTATCTTGGCGAAATCTTTGTTTGTATAGAAATAGGATTTAACCTGTGGCTTCGAATTGAATTAAAAAAACCTGCAAGAGCATTTGTTCATAAATACTCTTGTGATTCTTTTTCCTGAGAATTTGTAGTGTTTAAGATCAAGTACGCTAATAGAAAACCTGCACCATCGATATTACCAATGAGACCATACAATTTAAATCGGCCTTTCGCGGTTTTATAGGTTGCATTACAGTGAATTTCTGATATGGATAAAAGAGCATTAAATAGAGGTGTTATAAACCCTATTGTAGTTGTTTTATCAGTTAACAATTCGAAGCAAAGTTTACAACCAGGCGCATGATTAGTTCTAAAAAATGTAAGTGCTAAAATAACTTGATCATCGTTTAATTTGTATGAGTCTTGTGCAAATACTGACCACCAATAATGAATCTGCTTTGCTGTAATATTTAAAATTTCAAATTTGTTACGGAGAATTGCATGAATTTGTACTGTGTCTAAATGAAGGTTTGCATGAATTTCTTGTTTAATTTCTTCTGGTGTTGAGACATCTTCAGGTTTTTCATGAATAATATCATGGCGAAGCTTTAATATTGCTTCCATTGCAGGTACTTTGATATGAAGAGTCAATTTGCTATGACAATCAAATCGAGTAATTCGTTTTCTGTTTGATTCCTTATACTCACATTCTAGTTCATAGCATTGGGAACATGCAAAGTAATATATAGCAACATTATTAAATCAAACTGAGTTATGGCGGTGCTGTTGTAGTTAACTAGACATAATCATCTCCTTCTTCAACTTTATCTATGATTATTCTTGCAATTGATTTAAGATCACTGGACTCAACTTCTGAAAACATATCATCATTAAGTTCGATACATATTTCAAATAAAATTCTGTTATTATTTTCAAGATTAGAGATTAAATTTTCTATATAATTACAAAGGGATTGTGCCAAAATTGTTTCTATGGTAGTAGGCTAAGTATTCTTATTATTTAATTTTCTGCATTTTTCAGCTTTAGAGATAAGACAATTAGCACAAGTTTTATAAACTTTTCCTTTATACTTGAAAGATTTTGGGGATGATGATTATTGCAAAAGGTACATTTAGTGAAAATTAAATAAACAATCGTTGAGATCGATAAAACTGCAAGCAAAGAAGCAAAACTAAAAGCAAGAACAGTAATATAACTAAAGAACAAACAAGAATTAAGCCAAGAGATACTGTATTTATACGAATTTATTACAATAAGCTGAAGCTTTCTAATTCAATACATGTAAGCCAAGTTTTTGAAATTATAATTTAAATGCAAAAGTTACAAATTAATTAAGCTTATATTTTATTATTAGTTAATAAACCAGTCATTAATAACAGTTAATTTCAAAATTATATTTAATATGTGCTTTTAAATTTTATAGGCTCCACGTTGAATTTTAGAGCAGATAAGTTATGTGAAATTCTATCATTTTTACATTAGATTGCGTGGATTAAAGAATTATATTCATGTTATTTTTAGAATATATTACTTGGAATCATAAAACAAATTATATGCTCTACGTTGAATTTCAGAGTAAATAAGCTGTGCGAAAGTTTTATTGATTCTAAAACAAATTGCGTGGATTAAAAAATCAAATTCAAACTACTTAGAAGAATAAAATGAATATACGTGAAAAACATGGTTACTTATTTTATATTTATTATATTTAGAAGTTACTATGCCTTTGTATATCTAATCATTATGGCCACTTATATACATATGTACGTATGTATAATTAGAATTTTAATATTTATTATATTTATCACAGGAGTCACTGCGCCTTTGTATATTCAATCAAATTAATAAAAATACCTTTGGATCGTCATTAAATTTGCCAGTTATTAAAGCCATAACTTATTTTTTTTAAACGTGTTCAATTAAAAAAATTACTTCCAATTTTACAAGCAGTTCTTGTTATAATACTTATTGGTAATTCCATTAACGTTAATACAAAATAGCTAAAAAAAAATTTAAAATATTGTGTTACAACATTCTTACATAAGTGATTCAAAAATTTGATACATTCTTATATGTAATAATATAGATAAATAGATGAACAAATACATAATGGATTACTAAAGACTTATACGTGTAGAAAAGATATTAATCTTTTAATTTACTTATTCAGTAATGCACATATTCCAACGTCAAGATATTTCAATTTTTTATTGCCAAAAGGAGTTTTATGGATTGTATTAATGAGGCATTTGTTATATACTTTAGTAGTTACAATAAAAATTTTATTAGAATTCAAATTGTTTAAATAATTAAATATTTTTGTATTTATTTAAATAAGCTTTATTATAACACTTTCGAATAATACAAATTTGATATAAATTAAATGAAATGAAGTTAAACCAGCAGATATTTGGATCATATTTTTAGATATAATAATTGCAGTACGTATGTATGTACGTACGTATGCACGCAGATAGTACGCAATAATTATATAACTGATAAGTGATATAATCGTGATCTGCAGGTGACAAAACCATGATATGCAGTAATCTACATCACATGATGCGGAAAATCTGTACTGCGCACTGTCTCTATTGGATGGGATGGGTTGAAAGTAGGATTGGTGAGGTTGGATAGATAGAATCGATGTGACAGATTGGATGGATGGAGCAGATGGGACGGGTTGGATGATTGGGGTAGATGAGACGGGTTGGATGATTGGGTTTGGTTGGATGGGGATTGGTTGGATAATCGGATTGGGTTGGGTTGGGTTGAGTTGGATGTCTCGAGATTTGAAACGTAATTCTTGAGATTTGGAATGTGATTGTTAAATAGAGATTTGCGATTGTTAAACAGGGTATGGTGAAGATTGTGATTGTCGTGGTGTGTTTGAGGTAGAAGCTTTGTCTTGAGTATCTGCTTTTTTTTTTTTTGTAAATATTTTTTCGAAAGTAATATTTTTCTAAAAAAATTTATATGCTAAAGATACAAAAACTTTTTCTTTTATAAAGAAAAAAATTAAAATACAAAAAGTTCAAAAAGTTTTTCTTTTATAAAAAAAAATATTCCAAAACTTTCATCATAAAAAATTACAATTTTTTTTTAAAAAAAAAATCGTCATGCTAAAATTACAATTTTTTTTAAAAAAAAAATTCGTCATGCTAAAATTACATTTGTTTTTTAAAAAAAAATTGGTCATGAAAAATTACGATAAAAAAAATCATCATGCAAAAATTACAATTTTTTTTTAAAAAGAAATTTGTCATGCTAAAATTACAATTTTTTTTTAAAAGATTTATTAAATTTGTGCACCCTGCACAGCTGTGCACCCCTTCATAACTAATAATAAGATTAGTTGGAGTTAGAGTTAGGGTTAGAGTTAGTTTTAGTGTTAGGGTTAGGGTTCGGGTTAGATAAAATTGCGAGAGGAGCATTTTTACTTAGTTACATGACAGGGTTACTCTAGTAAAATTTAGAGATATAGCAAATTTTAAGTAAAGTTATAATTAGTTAAGGTTAGGGTTAGGGTTAGGGTTAGGGTTATGGTTTAGGTTAGGGTTTTGTAAAATTGTGTTATGATCATTTTTTGTAAGTTGCATAACAGGGTTGCCCTAGTAAAATTTTGAGATACAGCTAGGGTACACAGCTGTGCAAGTGTACATATTTAATAAACCCTTTTTTAAAAATAATTTCATCTATAATAATTACTATTTTTTTAAAAAAAAATTTCGTTAATGATAATTACAATTTTTTTTAGAAAAATTAAATTTGGCGTGAAAAATTACAATTTTTTTTAAAAAATCATCATGTAAAATTACTAATTTTTTTTTTAAAAAAAAAAATTCGGCAAGCTTAAATTATATTTTTTTTAAAAAAAAAAATTCATCATAAAAGTTATAATTTTTATACAATTTTGACTTTATAAAATTTAATATGCAAAAAAATATGAGTTATAGCAAAACAATCGTCGTAACTTATTAGATATAATCGAATTAGAATATCAAATTTTATAATAAATTTAGTTTTATAAGTGTTATTATTAGTTGTAACCAAGACATAGGGTGCAATTATAGATAGTATGCATTTATAAAGAATATAAACAAGTTTGATCATATAACTTTCCATGAAATATTTATTTAAAAAAAAAAAATTACAATATAATTTAGGCTTTAACTGAGGTATAAATGTGACTTGGTCAAGTATTCTAAATATATAACTATATTTTTTTATATCTTAGACTTGGTCTTAATCGACTATTAGCCGTTTGACTACC